GAGCGGGAAGGTCCGGGCGGGAGTGCGGACGGTGGCCCTCAGCGCTGGGGGCGAGGGAGAGAAACCCCAGGGGGTGTCGGGGCCCGGGCAGCCCCGTCAGGCCTCGGCGGAGCGAGCAGGTGTGACCGGCGCGGGAGCCGGCAGGAGCCTTCCAACGAGGATTTTGGGTTGGATTTGGCGCTGCGGGCGTACCGGTATCCAGGGAGGATATAAGCACCAACGACGGATAAACTGTTTAAGTCAGAAAGCCCCAGTAACCGTCACCAAGAGATCTCCAGTCCACTTAGCTTTAACCTATGAGCACAAGGGAGATTCCATTGACAGGAAAAATATCAACAGCAACAATTCCCGGAGAATTCCCAGTACAGCAGGTCCCGGGGCTCCCAGCGCCGGTGAGGCAGCAGCCACAGGTCAGAGAATGAGGAGAGCAACGAGGAATTCCTGTGAGAGGGAGCGAAGATGGCCAATGCCAGCCAGCCTCGTCCCGGCAAACAGATCTGCTTTAGCTGTTTGGTGGGGACGGGGCTTTGGGAAGCGTTTGCGTAGCACCGTGGGACGTGCTGAAGGAGCGCCGACCAGGTCTGATGCTGGGGGCACAGAAAGTCAGAAAACAGGAATTCAGAAGAAATTAGGACCTGGTCTAGTGCTACTAAGTACCTTTCTGCTAGTGATGAGGACATGAAACCAATCCCCATGACCGGTGGAGCAGTAAACGAAGATTTACCTAAATGTGCCCAGCTCAGTTCTTGTTCATGCCGTGACTTTGAAGGCACGGGCCTTGACCAGGCACTGAGAGAGCTCGGCAAGACTTCCCTGACACCTGAATCTAGACAGCTGCTGCTTCGCAGCCTTCTTTCAATTCAAAACTCCCAAAAGGACTTCGCAAGCTAATTACAGCATCCCCTTTGTCAGGCCCAAGCTTTGCAAGACGTTTAAGAGGCCAGAGCATCAGTATGCACTTGTTCAGCTCACCGCTGGCTTCCCACAGTCTATATTTCACCAGCCTGTTGCTTTTGTGGCATCAGTGGCAAACAAATCACATTCCTCTACCCCTCTCTGTATTTCCCATAAACTAAGGTTACTGACAGCATCACTTTTACAAAATGTATCAGTACATGAACACTTGTTCTACTTCCTGAAAGATTTTAAAATAGACAAGTAATATTTTTTAAGATTTGGGATTCATGGTGGCCTTAAAAATTCATTGTTGGTTGTACGATTGAGTAAGAAACGCTACACTCTGGGTCAGCCTTTCGTGAAAGCCCTACGGAGAAGGACTCAGAGGTACTGGTGGATGAAAAGCTGGACATGAGCCAGCAATGTGTGCTCGCAGCCCAGAAAGCCAGCTGTGTCCTGGGCTGCATAAAAAAAAGCGTCGCCAGCAGGTCGAGGGAGGTGATTCTGCTCCTCTACTCCACTCTGGTGAGACCCCACCTGGAGCACTGCCTCCAGCTCTGGGGTCCCCAACATAAGACCTGTTGGAGTGGGTCCAGACAAGGGCCACGAAAATGATCCAAGGGCTGGGACACCTCTCCCATGAAGAAAGGCTGAGAGAATTGGGATTGTTCAGCCTGGAGAAGAGAAGGGAGACCTTATTGAGGCCTTTCAACATACAAATGGGTCTTATAAGAAAGATGGAGAGACACTTTTCACCAGGGCCTGTAGTGACAGGACAAGGGCCAATGGTTTTAAACTGAAAGATGGTAGGTTTAGATTGGACATAAGAAAGAATTTTTCTACAATGAAGGTGGTGAGGCACTGGAACAGGTTGCCCAGAGAAGTTTGGATGCCCCATCATCAGAAGTGTTCAAGGTCAAGTTGGACGAGGCTTTGAGCAACCTGATCTAGTTGAAGATGCCCCTGCAACTCCTGCAAGGGAGTTGGACTGGATGATCTTTAAAGGCCCCTTCCAAGCCAAAGCTTTCTGTGATTCTATGAAAGCTGTGCCTGGGAAGGAACAAGTAAAGGGATTAGGATTCACAGTATGAGACCTGCCCGTGTGTGATGGATGCACTCGACCCCTTAACCAAACTGGCAGTGGTTTGGTACAGGCTCCAAAGGAGGTAAAGGCCTGAGCTGAAGCAAGGCCAAGAACTCCTCTAGTTTCAATCCATTCTCTAAAAACCCACAAAGGAGTAGAGTGACACAGTGAGCATCGACACATATGAGCTTGGAACACCAATCATGCGATTAACACAGGAATAGCGGGTGGCTTTATCAAGGAACAAAGAAAGTTGTGGGTACAAGGAGTCTCATGCATACCTTACCCATCGCATGTAATTTGACTATGAGCCAACCACTTTATTCCATAAATATGACAGCCTAAGTGAGCCGCCTTTGAGCTCTCCCTGCTAGGCAGCGTGGCTGCATGGCGGTGATCTCCCCGTGAGCTGAGACGCCTCTCAAGGTTGCTCCTCGAGGCAGAGAAACCTTTTACCAACGGCAGATCTTTGGTAAGTGACTGATGGCATGCTGAATTAATACTAATGAAACATTACTCATCCATGTAGCTATTAAATATTAATTACTATAAACTTTGTATAGATAATTCCATTAGACATAAACCATTGTCCAAGTCTGAGACTAAGACTGAACCTAGCTGCACCTAAGCTCCATCAGGAGTTTAGAAAGTAAGGGGGTCCACTCTGAACCTCGTGACTCAATGGGAGGGTCTTCTTTATCCTTTTCGTCTCTGGTCTCTGTGTGAATCATTCTAACTCGATTCTAACTCAGCTTTCTTCCATGCAGTAATTAAGCTAGCGAACCTTGCCATCAAACTTACTGAACCTTCGTAAACCACTGTTAAACTTTGTTAAATTCCATCGAATTTATTGAATCCTGTCAAATTATCATTCTACCTCAATAAAACATATTGCTGCTTCTCTCTTTTGAGACAGGTGCATTCCACTCTTTCACGACACCATGGGGAAGTGGGGCCTGGCCCTGGGTTTCACAGGGTGTGATGCCAAGCGGTTCTGGGGATGCACCTCCTCTTCAGATCCCCACCTTTGGGTGGGGGTCCCTATCCCATTGCAGCCCCCAGTTTCCCCAAGCCTCCACCTTCCTGCCCCACATGTACAGCAGCACTGCTCTGGGCAAGCAGCGGTGCTGTCCACCGTTTCTCTTTCCCCTGCCCAAAGCATGTCCAGGATCCCTTCAAGTGCTGTCATCACCATTTGTATATGGCTTGGTGTGCCTTGGGGTAGACTCATATCATTCCTGCAGAAACGGTGGGCAAAACAGTGTGGGGAATGCAGTTCTTGGCAAAATTTCCTCATCCCTACAGGATTTCTCCTTAAGGTTGAGGAGGAACATGGGGAGGATCTTTGAAAGCATTCAGTAAACCCATTGCTTGTTCCCTGGCCAGCCACCGAGCCCTTGGGAACGTGGCTTCTTCAATTGCTGCCAAAGCGGGAACCTGGGGTTTTTACCTTCTGGGCTGTCTGGTGGTGTGGAGGGCAAGCACTGTCCCGAGGGGATGCCAGCCTCGCTCAGTGCTGGTGCTGGAGCCCATGAGCTTTGCAGTGGCCCCCAGTGCTCCCAGCATCTGCTTGCTGCAGCAGCTTGATGCTTCTGTTGAGCTGATTTAGGTTCACATCCTGTCACAAGTGGCTGATTATATTTGCACCTCTTGTCCCACAAAGCCCAGAGTCAGGCTCTAAAATACCATTGATAACTCAGTGTCTTTTACCTGACCCAGGAAGTAGGTGCTTTAGATAGATAGAAATCTTATTAATGATGCAGCTGCAGGGCTCAGTAAAGTGGAGGCACCTCAGACTTAGATGAATAATTAAATCCCATCAATAGGACTTTCCAGGGCCACTATTTAATAACTCCAAATGCAATTCTGGTATATAATAGAATCCATTGAAATGGGATTCATTTCTTTTTCTTTTTTTTTTTTTTTTAAACAAAATGCTTTATGCCATTGCTGGCAATTTTACAGCCACCTGCCTCTCAACCCCAGCTGATGGCAGCTAGGAGAGGGGCTAGGGGTGGTTTCTGAATATTTTCAAGCTCCAGCAAATAGGAAATGGCTCCAAAACCAGCATCCAGCATGCTAGTGCTCATGTTTAATGGACTTGTAATATGCTGAGAAGTAAATCAAGAGGAAGTCCTGTTTGGAGAAACATGCCTCCTCTGCCTAAGTGGATGGGAAGACAAGGGGTCATCTACATCTGTAGCAAAAGCTACATTTTCTGAGAAACAAAATCTTCCGTTTCCCCAGAAAATCTCTCACTCACAGCTGGCAGCTTTACCTGTGGTGAATGTGTAGAAGAAGCCAGGAGACACCATCCCTGGCTATCTGAAGTTACTTACAGATTTGCACATCCATGCAGGTATAGTGGGATAAAAAGTAAGGTTCATGGGAAAGCACAAGAGCTTTCCTCCTTGGACAACCTCCAAGCAGCACTGGGGATGTCTTTGTGCCACCATGCTGTTCAGCACGTTTTTTCTGGCTTAGCTTCATTCACCACCTACACGAGCTCACCAAAGTTTGACTAGTGCTGCATGACTTTTCTCCCCCTCTTCATTACCTTGGGAGAGATTCAGCTCCTGCTGCTTGGCCTATTTTATGATAGGGGCTTTGACAGTCAAAACTTTCCCTGCTTAGGCCAGCTCCTCTCTGGCTGACCTTGCATGCTGTCAGAAAGACGTGTTTTATACAGGCCATGACCTCTAGTAGCGGGCAAACGGAGATAAGCGCTTCTCTCCCTGGTATTTTTCAGCTGGCTGAGTCAAGCAGCTGCTTGAAGCATCCCCGGTGGAGGGGTTTGTCCAGTTTTCCCATGGGAAGCAAGAGGATAGAGCAGAGTGGCAGCCTTTTGGGTTACACTTGCTGCAGATCAGAGAGCAACTGGGAGCCTGCCCTGGCTTCAGAGGATCTGCAGTGCCCGTGGGCATCATGAGGTGGGTAGCCCCCAATAATGCTGCTGCTTTCTCTGCCTTTACCTGCACAAGGCACAGGGAGGAAGAAAAGTAGCTGCAAATTTGACGCCAGAGTCAATTTTCCCTGCAGAGATCTTTTCTTCCTAGAAACGTCACCTTGCTTTAAAAACGTGATTTTGATGGCGACCGGCTGAGTGGCTTTGCATGTAGAGAGTTGGAAATGAAATCATCGACCTGGTATCACGAGCAATTGGGCAAGAGGGTGGGAGAAGAGAATTACTCTTTCCCCAGGAGGAATTGAATGTGCTACTTTTGAAGTGGGGAAGGAGAGTGCTCCTTCCAGCATGCAGAGAGGGGCTACTTCCCCAGTGATCTTCAGGAAAAGCAAAGACACAGAACCTGGGTTAGCCCAAATAAAAGATGTACTGACCCAATGCAGGGATGCTCTGAAAATAAACGAGGGAAAGCCTGGAAACTAGCTCTAGATGGGCACAATCTAGCAAGAGGCCGTGAAGTATCTCTGTTTCCCAGGGTCATGGTCTGACACCAGCCAAGCAGGAAGGATGGGAAGAGCTTTATCCCCAGGCTTAGTCCCTCTCAGCAGAGCCTCCCGGATCATGAGTATCCCTGCATACCTGTTCCCCCCAAGCCCGAGCGGTGGCCCTGGAGCCAAACCATGGGCCCAGACCCCAGGACTGCCTCTGCTGGCTTTGGGCAGCTCCTGAACCTTGCTTGGAGCTGCATCTTACCTTCACACAGCCACGCTTTCTCCCAGGCCTGTGGGCTTTCCTCCCTGTCCTTTGCATCTTTTGTTTGGCTTTACCACCCAACAGTGCAATTTTTTCCCTACCCAGAGGTGGCCTCATGCTCAGAAAGGTGTTTAGCAGAAACCTGGTGAAGGTTTGTTAGGACTCCGAGGGTCTGAAAAGATGATTTTGCCCCTGCTTGTCTGTTACTGATGGGAAAGACGGGAACTGAGCCTGAGCCTTTGCGATCTGTAGTTTTAGTAATCGGTAAATTCAGCAGCGTAGTACAGTGACTATAGCCCCGCACCAGGTCAGTTCTCACCAGGCGGGAGCGTGCTTAGATGCGCAGGGCCATCCAAAAGAGAAGGCGTTGTTCTTGTGAGGGCTGTCCACAACAAAGAAGAGAAGAAAGGCTGTGAAACCGGTTGCCCCCTGGCCCACTTTTCATTTCAAATGCTTTTCTTTCTCTTCGTGGCCCTGAAGCAGTCGCTTACAGCATGCTTTAATGGTGGCAGTTACAACGTGAGAAGGTGGGAGCTCGTGACGCCGGAGTATTCAGTGCTGTACAAAGACGGTGACATTGTAAAACCTCCCAGCCGTTGGCCGCAGTGCATCACAGGCGCTTGTAAGGGTACGGCCACGCAGCTCGGGGGCTCCGAGCGTCCCCGGCCTCCGCCAGTCAGCCTCGCAGCCCCGCTATAAACCGGCTCTGTTTCCCCCCCGCCTGTAGCAGTGATGGAAATTTCTCGGCCTATTTCTCGGAGCCCCCGGAGCACAGCTCGGCGGAGGATCCCGGGGAAGGCAGTGTTCAGGACCTGGCCAGATGTGTGCAGCTCGGAAACAAAGCGCGGCAGGAAGGTGGCAGCGTTGCTCTGACGAACCGGCGGGTCACCGCCTTTCGCACCCTCCAACCGGGAAACGCGCTCATTGAATGGGAAGGAAGGTTAACCTCCGTTTCTTGCAGGGCCGGATGAAAAACCAGCCTGTGCCCGGTGCAGGGCTGGCGCGGAGCTCAGCAATACGACAGCTTTTGCTGTTCCTCCCCGGGGTGAGCTGTGCTCTGCGAGCCCAGCGGCTCACAAACCTCGCAGCAAGCCCATGGGCGGCGGCTGCTGTCACACACCGGGGTCCCGGGGATGCGCCGCCACCCGGCGCCAGCCGGGCTCCCCCTGCGCCGCTCTCTCGGGCCGTGCCGGCCGGGGCGA